CATGCATTCCTAGACCCAAAACCCTCTCAACCCCTAACCCCTAACCCCTAACCCTAAACCCTAAACCCTAACAACCCCGACATCCCAGGTGGCAAGTACGCCCATCATCATCCAAGCCTCGCCATTGGAAGGATTCCGAACCTGATCACGCCCCCCCTCAGGCACCTTCTTGCTCTGGGCGTCGATGTTGGGGAGTACTTCAAGCTTCAACTTTAAGGATGTTGAAGGTTTAGGGTTAAGGGGGGGTGGGGTTTAGGGTTTGGGGTTTGGGGTTTCGGGTTTAGGGTTTTAGTGCGTGTTCCAGCGGCCGAAGATCTCTCATGATTTGGCCAAAGCACCACTCCAGGTTGCGTGTGGTGGCGACATAAACCCTAAACCCCCTAAATCCCCTAACCCCCCCTGCCCCCCGAAAATCCGAACCCTAAGCCCCAAACACCTTAAACGAACTCTGTGAAGTCTGATCAAGCCTTAATGTGAAGTCCCATTTATAAATGGGGTGGTAATAGCAAAATTCGCCGGGCCAGAGGGGTCCAGCCGAAGACTACTTTCCATTACGGCAGGTTTTCGGGCCGATGTATGTAAACAAGTCTATATAGGGGGGTGCGGTGATAATAATAAAGGGTGGTAATACCAAAATTTTTTCCGGCCTGGAATTGAAAATTTTACTGAGAATCGCTTAAGAGTTCCATTGCAGAGAAGCCCCCCCCCAGACCCCCAACCCCCAGACCCCCCCCGACCCCCAGAATTGATTATTGGCACCCCGTCTTTTTTTCCACCCCTCCAAACCCCGGGGACCAAAACAAGATTTGGGGGGGGGGGGGGGTTTATTAAAGGGACCCTAACATTAAACCCCCTAAACCCCTTAAAACCCCTAAACCCCCCTAAAGCCCTGAATAAGGGAAACCTAAACCCTAAACCCTAAACGCCCTAAAACTCCCCTAAACCCTGAACCCTAACCTAAACCCTAAACCCTGAACCCTGAACCCTGAACCCTAAACCTAAACCCTAAACCCTAAACCTCTTGAACCCCTAAAGCCTCAAGGGGCTCTCTGGGGAGGTCCGGAGGGTTCCCTGGGCCGTTGGAGCCCAGCTTCGCGGGGAACGGCTCCCCGCTCTGCATCGCACCTTGGACCTTGGCCCTGGGCTTCAGAGTTGGGTTTAGGGTTTAGGGTTTTGGGTTTTGGTTTTGGGTTTTGGGTTTTTGGGTTTTTGGTTTTGGGTTTTGGGTTTGGGGTTTGGGGTTTGGGGTTTGGGGTTTAGGGCTTAGACTTTCTTGTCAGGTTTTGTTCAAGAGCCCACAACCAATTCGTTGTAGGTTTCCTAAGAATCCTACAAGGGGCGTTTGCTTGTAAGAACCCCTTCCGAAAAAGGGAGCCGAAGTAGGTCCTTATTTCCTTTTTTATGGTCGGGGTTCCCTTGTAATCCCCTTAGAGCCAAAAAAGGCACCCCTGCTTTTCCAAGGTTACCCCTGGGTTTAGAAACGTATGTTATGGTTTCTCCGACAATCTATCTCAGGGGTCCCCTTTTAAACCCCCCCATAGAACCCGTTTTTTTTGTTGTGGGGCTTTTTGCTGTGGGTGCTTTTTTCGTGGGCCGCCCCTGTGAGTGAGTGACCTGGCGCGTGTCGCCCCCACACCCGCAGCAAAAACAAAAAGCGCCCCCGCACCCGCAGCAAAAAAAAATGCGCCCCCGCACCCCAGCAAAAAACAAAAACGCGCCCCCCCCCCCCCCCCCCCCACCCTTCCTCTCCACCCCCCAGGTCATTTGTTTTGCAATTTCCCCCCAACCCCGCCCCACACCAAGTGAATCCTTTCCGAACCCATCATGCGAGCATTCCCCCCCCCCCCCCCCCCCGCTTGAAATGGGGGGGGGGGGCTCCGCTTTTTTTAGTCGGGCAAACGCACTCCAAACCCATGGTGATGCGAGCGTTGTGTTTGCAAATGGGGGGGGGGGGGGCTGCGCCCCCCCCAACCCCCCCCTTTTCTTAGCCGGCAAGCCTGCTTCAAAGCTTACGACTTACGAATCCCTTCCAAACCCATGATGCGAGCATTGTGTTTTCAAATGTGGGGTCCTGCGCAGCCCCCAACCCCCTGAATAAAGAGGGAATATATGCTTGCTTTCCTACGAACATTCAGAGCTTATTGTGGAAGTTGAGTTTTCCGATTAAAAATAGAGATATAAACGTCTTCTTGGTGAAGAATCGAGAAAATAGAGCTTGTGTTATGAGAATATGACAAGCATGAACAAAAACACTTGTTGTTTGCAAGTCACAGATAGAGATAATGCATGTACTCTTATGGCAATATAGAGAATTAGCTTTTCATGTATTCCTCTCTCATGTCTTCCTCGTGAAATAAAGAGAAGAAGTCTGAAAATACTGACAAAATAGTAAACACTATTGAACAATAGAGGTTTTCGCTATACAATATAGAGAAATTAGCGGGCTTCCTATGACAACCTAAAGGCAATATAGGTTTTCATACGAAAACATAGCGAAAATACAAAGTGTTTTCGTATAACATGTAGAGGTCTTGAAATTGAAATATAGAGAATAGAGGTTTCCTATTAACATAACAAGAAAAGAGAGGTTTCATATCAGCATATGCACGAAAACACTCTTACCAGGGAAGCGTGGTTCTAGCTGGCTAACACCCTTGTGAGCATACTTGTAGCTACCATGACCTTTGTTTGGGGGGGGGGACTAAGAGCTGCTCTTTCGTTGCCGCTTCGCCCTAAGTTGTATTTTTTTGCTAGGTTTCAGAAACCCCATGCTCCCAAAGCCCAAGCCCTTATTCCTCAAACAACGACCCCGAATTGTTGCCCTTCTTTGAGGTGGTCGGCGAGGAGGGGACAACCAACTTTCCGAAAGACAAGTCGTGGCCTGAGCGATGATACTGAGTAATACTTGCAGGTGCATGCCATCGCTAGGCCAACCCTGAACCCTAAGCCCTAAGCCCTAAACGGTGAACACTCGCAACCCTACTTGTCACTACAGCTCAGGGAGGCGCGTTGTGCGCACAGCTGCTTTGCACATGCTGGCCTGTCAGGCTTCACAAGAAGTTCAAGGACCACATGCTGCAGAAGGGCTTCAAGATTTGCCACGTGGACTCTGGCCTGCACCAACAGTCCTAGTCGAGGAAGTAACCCTTGGACTGTAGGCTTTTTCGGGGGTGGTATGGGACCTGGATGATCCCAAAGGTTAACCTTCGGTGGCTGAAGCGCAAAAGTAAGTCACGAGATTTTGAAGGAGCCAAGCGTTTGTGGCCGAAAGGCCCGCAAGACGCCTTGGTCTCGGCAGCTGCATGTCATCGAAACCCAGACAGAAACTCAAAGCTTCACAGTCCAACACCCTGCATCACGAAATCCTTAATCTGCGGAAGGGGATCTAGAGGAGCTACCCTAAACCCTAAACCCTAATTAAACCCTAAACCCTGCTTTATAGCCAACACGTGGCCGCTGAACAATAGCCGACAACCTCAAACCCTACAGGCACACCGAATAGCCCTAAACCCTAAACCCTAAGCCCTAAACCCTAAACCCTAAACCCCCTAAAGACCCAACAGGGTGGCCTGTGAACTATAGCCCAAATCCTCAAACCCTAGAGGCCCATCAACCCTCGGTCCTACTGCGGCCCTACTTGGAGGTTCATGGTAGTTATTAACCAATTACAACTGTTTAGGGTTTAGGGTTTAGGGTTTAGGGTTTAGGGTTTAGGGTTTAGGGTTTAGGGTTTAGGGTTTAGGGCTTAGGGCTTAGGGCTTAGGGTTTAGGATAACTGTACTTATAACCATCTTAGGGCACTTAAGGAGCTTATACGTGGGTTATAAGTACAGTTATGATTGGTCAATAAGTGCCATGAACCTCCAACTTTTAAACTCTGAGCCATGAACACAGGGAGCCAAGAGGCGGGGCTTAGGGTTTAGGGTTTAGGGTTTAGGGTTTAGGGTTTGGGGTTTAGGGTTTAGGGTTTAGGGTTTAGGGTTTAGGGTTTAGACTTTGGGGTGGGGAGGATGGGGAGGGGTTGCAGTGCTGCACCATTTTCATCTGATACAGGACTCACTTTGGGGGATTCGCCAAATGATGTTCTAAGGCGGGCCCCTATTATCTTGGGTACCCAAAAGGGACCACGACTTAGAGGGGTGACTACATGTAGGTTCGCGGGTAGTTGCCAGTAGGCTGGTAGAGGTGACGACCAGCGACTGCTACAGCTACAGCAAGCCATGTACCATTTATAGCCCTATTTCTAACCTCGCCTAACCCTACATGACATGGGGCTAGGGCCTAACTAGGGGACCCCTAAAAATAGCTCCCAAGTCGTAGGATTCCCTTTCATAAAGGACACCTAAAATAGATCCCAAGTCGTAGGATTCCCTTTTATAAAGGACCCCTAAAAAAGATCCCAAGCCGTAGGATTCCCTTTCATAAAGGACCCCCAAGAAGGTACCCCCCCCCCCCCCTCCCAAGATCGTAGGATTCCCTTTCATAAAAGGACCCCAAGGAAGGTACCTAGATCGTAACAGCCCCACCCCCCCCCCCCATGCACCTCCCAGAGATCCCACAGCACGACTTTTTGTGGACCCGAGGGATCCAACAACTCATGCCACTGGAGAACGGACTTCTTCACCTCCCTGCCGGCCATCTCATGAAGGAGGCCCCCAAACCCAAACCCTAGCCACAAAGCCGGTTCTCGAAATGACGTCGGCACTTGGGTACTCCTATCCTAATTGCCGAGCTTGATATAGGGTGCCCCCCCCCCCCCAAAAGTAACCCAAATTGTGAAGAGGAAGACCCAGGGTTTGAGCACTCATGATTCTTCAGGTCAAAGTAACCTGGAGGCGGACGGCTGGGCCCCTGCAATGTTTTGAGAGCTTACACCTAAACCCCCTAAACCCTAAACCCTACTCCCTAAAGCGTGCCTAAACCCCCCCAAGCCATAAAGAAAGCTCCTGCAGGCCTTGCAGGATGAATGGAAGAAGGCTGTGGGCCGAATTCCACCTGATATGTCCAACGTCTTCATCCGTTTCAAGGTCAACTCCAACGTCAACTACGTGCCTGCGCTGTAGGGCCTTTAGGGTTTAGGGCCTTTAGGGTTTAGGGTCTTTAGGGTTTAGGGTCTTTAGGGTTCAGGGTCTTTAGGGTTTAGGGTTTAGGGTTTAGGGTTTAGGGTTTAGGGTTTAGGGTTTAGGGTTTAGGGTTTAGGGTTTAGGGTTTAGGGTTTAGGGTTTAGGGTTTAGGGTTTATTTAAGTTATTTTAGGAGGTTTAGGGGTTTATGGTCAAATTTTTTCCCCCCCCCCCCCCCTCCAGATGCCAGAAGTCTCAGGTAGTCGTGGAAACCGCGTACGCGTCCTTCGCCGACAGCAGCTGCTCAGCTTGTCTTGGTGGCAGCCAGGGCTTAGGGTCTAGGGTTTCGGGGTTGGGGTTTAGGGCTTAGGCTTTACGGTTTAGGGTTTAGGGTTTTGGTGTAGCCTTGCAGCTCAGTATGTGTGTGAGCCAGTATGAAGTAGTTGTTGTTTTCAGGGTTGGCCGTTGATGCAGAGGAGTGCTTGTTTGCGCACAGGTACTTGTTTCGGGCTGCATGGGTCCTTCCAGCCTGTCTGAGCCTGTCTGTTGCGAAAGTGTATGGCTGTGCAGGAAAGGACGACGTGAGCTTCAAAAAGGCCATGACTCCTGGATGTTATTCAGATTTCAAGCCGAAGCAACACCCTGAACTCTAAAATGTAGCCACAACCCCACCAAGTCCTGATGCCGACCGAATCTAAGTGCCTTAAAAACCTTTCAAAGCCCTGAGCCTAGACAACTCTAAGTTTAAGACTTGTGCCGAAACAGTCGAAAGAGCCAATAGGGTTTAGGGTTTGGGGTAAGACTGGTCTTGGGTTTCTTCCTAGCTCTTCTCGGCTTTGCCAGCTCCAAGCATCTGGGCCTCCGAGCCCTTTTTGTCCTTTCTTGGGCTGTTGGTGAGGTTGAGGGTATAGCATAGTCAGCTGCAAGAAGCATCCGTGCTGGATCTTTTTTGATGTCGCATCTTTGCTACACGCCTCCTTCCTTCTCACCTTTTGCGGGGGGGGGGGGGGGGTGGGGTTCCTTTTGTGGGGTTTAGGGTTTAGGGTTTAGGGTTTGAGTTTGTTGGAAGGGGGGAGGAGGGAGGAGAAGTTTTAGAGGCAGGCGGTTGCCTGCGAGGTTTAGGGTTTAGCTCTCCTCGTTCAGAACAGTCCCTCCAATGAGGACCCTTTGTGGTGCTTTACTGTAACTTTAGATCTTTAGCCTTTTTGGGCTTATTGGGTTTCTTAACAAGGCAGCTAAAAAAAAAAGTTATAGCTACCCTCCTAAGTGCAGCCAAGGACCTGGTGGCTCGAGCTTCGCCCAGCCATCAAGCAAGCCGTTCTGGCTTCCCGGCATTCCATTGGTGACGAGTCGGCGTGGGTTGAGGGTCTGGGTCAGATGTTAAGTGAACCCTAAACCCTAAACCCTAAATAGAAACCATATCGAACCCTAAACCACACGGGGCTGAGGGCAGGAGATCCGGCTCGAAGGGGGGCTCAGATGCGGGCTTCGCTGTGTAAGCTGCAGGGGCCCACCCTTCCCGAGCCTTCCAGGAGCCAACCCACTTCTATATCTCCCTTGGGAATTGTTTTTTAAATTTGTTCATATAAACCCTAAACCCCAAGAGGATATTTAAAAACATTATGGTTATTAAGGTTCTGAGGGGAGTATAGACTTTGCCCCTACCGACCCAAGAAAGCCAAGGATGCGGAGTAGGCCCTTGCTTCCTTTTGCCGGGTTGGGGTTCCCCCTATAGAATCCCCTTAAGAACCAAACAGGGCACCCTTTTTATTCCCAGGGGCCACTCCTGGGTCAAGTTACCCTAAACCCTAAACCCTAAACCCTAAACCCTAAACCCTAAACCCTAAACCCTGAGTCTAGAAGCCGAGGAGAACTATGTGAAGGTCTCCCGGCAGCATGACAACGCGAAGGACAAGTTCGGGAACCCGAAGATCAAAGAGATGGTCAAGGGCCAACAGGTTACCTGGAGGCCGGGTTTCGGGTTCAGGGTTTAGGGTTTAGGGCTAGGGTTTAGGGTTTAGGGTTCAGGGTTTAGGGTTTAGGGTTTAGGGTTCAGGTTTGTGCAGGGTTTTGCAGGCCTGCGCTCTTCGCCCTCCTAGCCGCGCGAAAGAATAGGTGAACCCATGTACAACGCTGTGTGTTTTCTCCAGGGTCATAACTTTAGGGTTTAGGGTTTAGGGTTTAGGGTTTAGGGTTTAGGGTTTAGGGTTTAGGGTTTAGGGTTTGGGGCGCAAGGAAAAGCCCAGTGAAGGAGTGAGAGTCATGATTCATGGTCCTTTGAAAGCGTCGGGTGAGCTTTCTCCAGAGCCCAAGGCTCCTCACTCCGAAGCTTCAACCCCCCTAGGTAGGGTTTAGGGTTTAGGGTTTAGGGTTTAGGGTTTAGGGTTTAGGGTTTAGGGTTTAGGGTTTAGGGTTTAGGGTTTAGGGTTTAGGGTTTATGGTTTAGGTTTAGGGTTTAGGGTTTAGGGTTTAGGGTTTAGGGTTTAGGGTTTAGGGTTTAGGGTTTAGGGTTTAGGGTTTAGGGTTTAGGGTTTAGGGTTTAGGGCTCCTCTTCTGGCTCTCTTAAAGAGGGGCCTTATTCAGAGGGTCTATATCCCCAAGGGTCCCCCTAATCCTATCCCCTAAACCCCCCCTTGTTCCTGGAACCCCTTGGCCAGCGCCGACTGCAAAAAGTTAGGCTTTCAGGGTTTCAGGGTTTAGGGTTTAGGGTTTAGGGTTTAGGGTTGCAGACGCATCCTGAGTGCAGTCAGTGGGTGTTGCAGTAGCAGTAGCGGCGGTTGGACGCCAACGCCAAGCAGGTCCTTGATGGCGGACGAATGCGTGAAGGACTGTTGCACCCACTTTCTGGGGAGCCTAAACCCGAGAAGCTAAACCCCACAAACGTGTTGGAGAACCACTCTTAGACTTCAGACCCTACACCGTAGACCCTTATAACTTATAAAACCAAAACCCCTAAACCCTAAACCCTAAACCCCTTAAGCCTAAGCTGCATGAATCCCTGCGCAGGACATCAAGTCTGCTGGATCACTCAGCGACGCAGCCCTTGAGGTCCTCAACGTGGATGAGGCCTCTCTTGGTAGCCCAGTGGTACCCTTTACCCCTTTTTGGGGTTCAGGTTCCCTTCTGAAGTAACCCTAAACCCTAAACCCTAAACCCTAAACCCTAAACCCTAAACCCTAAACCCTAAACCCTAAACCCTAAACCCTAAACCCTAAACCCTAAACCCTAAACCCTAAACCCTAAACCCTAAACCCTATGCGGAGCTGCAATTGGTATTGTAGAAAGGAGTTGTTATTGGAAGTTGGAAGGGTTAATAAACCCGGGAATTATGTTTGGCTCAAGATGGGCTTGAACAGAAAGCCACAAGTTCAAAAAGTAGTGCCTGGGTTCTTAGGGTTTGGTAAGGGTGTGGATTCCTTCCCCCTTTCCTTCCCCCCTGGGTTGCTATTATCCGTGTTCTTGGTTGTTTCTTGGTTCGATCTGGGAAATATAAGTTCAGGGCGATTAGGGGAGTTGATTTCCTTCCTTGGTTGTCCCCCCGTAGGTTATGAGCCCAAATTAGGTTCCCTGCGGTTAAGTGTTCTTTCAAGGTTTTTGGGATCAAGAAGCAATGCCTTCTCCGAAGCGATGGCTCCAACCTGCCTCGGATGGTGGAAAAAATAGTGGAGCTGGAAATGGTGCAGCTGAGTCTCTGGGTGAAAGATCGGTGTTGGAAGAGGTGATTCCCGGCGCTGAAGAACATCTGGAAGAAGCCTTGGTTGCAGAAAGCCCCAATGTGGGTATGAATCCCAATGTGGATATGGTTAGCAATGCTGAAGCTGAAGGACGTGCTGTCTCTGTATCGCCAAAGCATGGTGAGAAAGGAACTGGGACGCGACTGGTGGTATAGATCGTGAAATGGAGGTGACTGTTTTACGAGTGTTGCACAAACACGGGTATCAGCCGTCGTCTTCGACTTCGGGTCGAATGGTAGACCAAGAGTCTCAGACCGATCTGATTGGAGAAGTGCTGCAAGCGGCCAGGAGGCCTCTGAACAAGATCAAAAGGGATCCATCTTCGAGTTCCCAAGGTGGTGGAAGCGGTCATGAACAGAAGGGTGCGGACAGCTTTGAAGCTGCACCTGCTGCTGGATACGCCATGGGGGAGGAGGAGATCCTACAGATGGAGGCTGAGAGGTTGCAACAGTTGTCCGAAGAGGAGGACGAGATGCGTCAGGTCTCTGAAAGGGATGGTTTTCGGAAAGACGAGCATCTGATCAAAGCGTGCGATGGGACAACGTGGGAATGGCACCTCCATGAAGATGGGAGACAATATTATTACTGCCTGGATACGCAGGAAAGCAAGTGGACATTGCCGGTGGTAGGTGAAAAGATGAAGAGTGACGAGGTGGTTGGGTCTCCTTCGGGCAATGAGCTGGAAATGGAGGCGGCACTGGATTCTTCATCCTCTACTCCGAAGACTGAGTCTACGAGGGCATTCCAGGGTAGTGTAAATAGTTTAGGTGAAAAAGATTTTTCCTCTACTATCAGGGATAGCGGTCCTAGGGCTGGTGGTGACGCCCCGACCTCGGGTTCTCCTGATGAGGAGGAGATTCCTGGAAACCGAGCAGACATCGCTGGAGCTCAACATCTGGATCGGAAAGGAATGGGAGCACTTTCTGAGGGTGTGGCAGCGGTGGAATCGGTAGGTCCAGAAGAAAAGATTCCCAATGTGGAGATCGGAACTGTGTCGGCTGCAGAAGAGCGAGTGGTGGATGTGGTACCTGTCGTTCAGGAATGTGGTCCTGGAGATTTGGAAGACGGAGGGAAAAGGTCGTGTGTTGCGACTGAGGAGGTCTCTTCGTTTGGTGCCAAGATTCCTGCCATTCAAGGGGAAAAAGAAGCTTCTGGAATAGCTGGAGACACGGAAGATCTGAAAAACGAGGCCTGGAGCGCCAATGATGAGCGGGTCGATGCGCCAGATATTACCTGGAGTGCGAAGGAAGCACGGGTTGAGGTGCATATGGTGTTACGTTCTACGGGCGACTGCAACAATGGGGCGCAGGTCTCCGCAGCAGCTGATGATGGAGGTTCACAGGTGGACGCACTGGTGCAACCTGAAGTTAGCCGCGAGGAACGGAATAGCAAGGGCTACACCGGAGCCGATGAGGCAGCTGTGGTCAACGATGGTGGAAATTCTCCTTTGGTAGCCATGGAACCAAGGGAGCCTGCGGTGGAAGAAAGCGTGCCTGCCGTGGATGATCGACTCAATTGCCCTGCAGTGGAAGAAGATTTGCCTGCTGCAGAAGGTGTGACAAAGGACTCCAATGATGGGTCCACTCCCAGGAAGGGAGAAGTGTTGCCGTCTGGAAGTTCGCCGGAAGTCGACACCGAGCGAATTACAGCAGATGAGGCAAAGCCTTTGGCGGAGAAAAAGGGAGGTCCTGAAGTCCAGGAGCACAAAAAAGATGAGCTTGTGGGACTCGTGGAGCAGGACGAGCAGTGTGACCCAAAGGTGAAAACAAAGGATGCGCCAGGAGCCGATGATACAGAGGTGGTTTCTGAAGAGCATGCAAAGAAAGTGCCCCGAGCGGGAGCCTTGGAATCACCTGGGACACATTGCTATCAAGAGGGAGATGAGATCATGGGTCTAGTGCGCTGCATCAATGGGTATGGAGCCTTTTTGGACCTTGGTGATTTGAATGTATTGATTCCTGCAGAAGGGAACAATACGTGTCAGTTCAGATTTGGTGATACTGTCAATGGAACAGTGAAACTAGTGGAAGATGATGGTACCATAATCTTGGACACCTTTCTGGTTTTGGAAGAGGACGTGGAGGACTCTTCCTCAACGCTGCGGAAATGGAAACCCAGCGGCTGGAGTACGTGGTGGACGAATTCATGGTATGCTGGTCAATGGTACCAAGATTCCAACGGTCAATGGGACTGGAAACAGGAGGAAGAGCAATCCGATGAAGAGCTTGTGGTACAGGAGTTATCCTCTGAAGAACGAGAAGAAAGGCAACTTTATGGAGAAAAGATCTACAAAGCTCTTCTGGAGAATGGAAACGAAGAGGAAGCCTATGTTGGCAAAATTACTGGGATGCTGTTGGGTCGCCCGATGGAAGATTTACAGGAGTGTGTTGCAGATCAGGCATTCCTCAATGCGGAAGCTCGGCGCGCGTATGGCATCTTGCAAAATGATGGTTGGAAGCCTGATGGTACAGGAAGCACAGGCTTGGGGAAGTTAACCACTTTTTCCCGAAAACAGTACCACAACGCACTTTTCGAACTGGCATGCAGAAAAAGGAGATTTTCTCGACCAGTTGTGGGTGAAGCGGTGGCAACGGTGCTGAATCAAGGGGAAGATGAGTTTTGGAACGCGCTTTGGTTGGACACCAAGCTATTTTTGCAGGAGCTTGATGGTGCAGTGCAATCCATGAGCAAAAAGGAGAACAGGCCAATGGAAGCCTACATGGACCCTGACCAGTACAAAAAGGCTCACATGACTCCAAAGACTGTGTTGTCACCTGGTTACAGCAAGCTGTGCAAGTTCTTCAATCGGGGAAGGTGTCGCAATGGTGATGAGTGTTCCTATGAGCATCGTCGTTATGGTGAAGGTTGGCCAGGAGGAGGGTCAACTGATCCAAAGAATAGCCAAGACGCTGATGATGAGGATGGGAACATCGGTGACCCTCCCACAGAGGAAGGTACAGTGGATGAGGCACAGCAGGAGCGGGAGGATTTAGCCTTCCGGGCCAAGTACAATTTTGGCAAAGGTGCATCAAAGGGTGAACCTACGTCGGGTGAGCCAAAAGGTCGTCTGTGTCTGTATTACAATCAAGGTGGTTGTAAATATGGGACTACATGCAGGTATCTTCACAACGATGACATAGCATTGGAAGGGACTTGGGAGCCCGGCAAAGCTTGGGACAATGCTTCCAGGAAGTCACTAAGGGACGCAGGGTTCCACAATTGCTGTTTCGATTATTACCTCAGAGGACGTTGCCGGAAAGGGTTAAATTTCTGCAAGTACTCCCATGACGAGATGTCAGAGGAGCGGCTGTCGCTCCTGAAACACTTGGTACAGGTGGCCAATCAGGTCCGGTTTGAAAAAGAGAGAGGATGGGAGATTACGGATAGAAGCACTTTTCAGCCACCTGCGAGTGGGGGAGCTGAATCTTCCTCATCCTCGGCACCAAAAGCGCTGCAAATGACCAATGTGTCACAAAAAGATGGTGAAAAAGGTATTCTGGATGAAGCAGAAGCTGATGAACAAAAGAATTCGGTGGCTGCATCCACTAGTACTCAGCTTCAAAATCCGGAGGAGCCAATTGAAAATTGGATGGCTCGCAACGCACACCTGTGGGTGTATACCCCTCATGTAAGTGAGGTGATGATTACGCTTGGTGTGACCAATGTGTCGGACTTGCAAGAGTTCATCTTTGTGGAAGATTTGGTTGACAAAGGGATCAACAAAGTGACCGCATGCAAAATTCTGCAATTGGTTGGTGATGTCCGATATCGCCCGGGAGGACCGGAAAAGGCAGTTCCTTCTGATGCATCTGTACGGGTACAACAATCTTCTGGTAACAAAGGAACTGGAAGAGCGGCGGTGCGAACCCTCACTCAGGTGCGTGAAGCTGAAGACTCCGGTGCAAAAACTATGCCGAGAGGCTCCTATCGGGAGCTTTTTGATAAGGTCAGGTACCATGATGGTTGGACGCTTGCGCAGAGGTCTCCGCTGTGCGTACAGAAGCTGCGGTTGGTGGGAGTTGGAATGCCGCCGGTGAATCCACCAACAAAAAAATATCGGTCAAGATCAAACCCTGTGAGAAGGGGAAGGCCCTTGCTGGACAAAAAACAGGTGCGACAGGTGCCACGCTCTCGGTCACAACGACGAGTGCAACCGGCGGAAGTGGTGGAAAAGCCGAAGCCACTGGAACTGAAGCCTCGTGGTGGGTTGTCGTATCGGTTCAGCAGAGCGTGGGCAGATGTGGTGGATGATGATGAACAGGCGGAGGCTTTGGTCTCGTATGCCGCTTCCTCAAGCGATTCAAGCGAAGAGGAGACCAATGCCGTACAACGCCTGAAGGAAATCTTTTTGCAAGAAAGGGATTCACAGAGAACTGCGAATCGTGGCAATGTTCCGCAAAGTGGTTCTTCAGGCTCCAATGACGGGCCGAAAAAATCGGTTCACCTTGGCGAAGGGCGCGACAAAGCGTCGCGGGGGGAGACCCGCCAAGAAGTGACTTCACAAGTTTTTTCGCTACCACAACCTTCTCGTCGAGCTGAACGGTCTCAAAAAAGAGCAAGGGATGGTTCAGTTATGGTTGGTTCGCTGGCGGTGGGCTCCACGGATGAGGTTTTACCTGGGCAAGGTGTTGCTGGACAGGTGAATGTCTCTGAAAGCGCTCAAGTTCTTCCTGGGCAAGAAGTGGCTGGACAGGAGACGGCGCCGGAAGGAGCAGTACAGATTTCTGGCGAGGAGACTGACCAAAAAGAAGGAGAAGGTGGGAGCAATGAACTCCGTGGTGATGATGCGAAGATATTGGATGGTGGTCCGGTGAGGAGTGACCTTCAGCAATTGCTGGTTAAAGGCCTTCTGACTCGGATTTATTGGAAGGTTGCAGTTGGCAAGTTGCCGGTGGGGCAAAGAGACTGCCAAAAAGGGTCCAATAAGATGGATCGAAATTTGGTTATTAGCATGTCATCCGAGGGTGCAAGCGAACAGGATGAGAACCTGGCACTGGAGGACGATGCTGATCAGTCAATGGGTGACGGTGCGATGGTAGTTCTGGTGTATGATCCAAGGACGCTGATTCAGTCGCCAACAACTGATTGGGTTATGCGTCGCGGTCTTACCGATCGTTCCGTCTGGCCAGCAATGGCGTACATGGCACAGAGGATATGTGCTGAAATGGTTCAAGTGGATGAAATGAATGCCCAGCTAGGGACTGGAGCACTCCTTTTTCAAAGGAGAGATCAAGGACATTATAGTGACCTGCGTCATTCGTTCCATGACAACCCGTGCTTGCCGGCGGTGGGGAATTATCCTCTTTCGGTGATGGGTGCCTTGTTGTCTCCTGGTTTGGAAGGGGAATTCAAGAATACTGACAAGTTTGGAACTGCTATGGAGGCAATTGCCTATGATTGGAGCCGCAGTCCAGGCATGGAAGTTCACATTGAACTTATGGCGAGGGTAGCCAAAATGGTTCACCCATTCCTGAATCTTGGAGCCCAAGGGTCGGTGATGGTTTCGGAATTTCTCTGGCAGCGCGGGAGGGCTCGGTTGATGGAGTTCCTTCAAGCGGCGACTTGTGCGGACCAATTGGAGGCTCTCTGGAGAAGGATGGACGACGATGCTGAGGAAGAGGTGGATCCTTCGACAGCAGTGCTGGAAGTTCTTGGACCAGAGGATGCGGTGCTTGATCAAGGGAACAATGAATCCCTTATTCCCATTGAAGATGCTGGAGGTGAGACAAGTGGTGACACTGGAGGGGATGGCAAAGCGCCAGAAGTTTCTCCGGAAGAGGAGACATCCAGTGGGTCATCAAGACTGGCGGACACAAGGATTTTCTTGTGGTCAGTATACTCCCGCGTGGCTTCGAATTTCTCTATGCAGGACCGCACTACTGGTAAGATCTTTGACAGCACAAAAGGGTATCCTGGTGAAGGACCAAACAATGATGACAATCCTTCCTCTAAGGGGAACTTACCCTGGATCTCGGAAGACTACCTCGACGAAGTGGTGTCAAAAAAGATGAAAAGGTCTTCAGATATGGATGGGTTTGTTCCGGGAAGTGAGGGACCATTGGAAAAGGTAGAGGTGGAGAATGTTACTGCCTCCAAAATTCTTATGGCTCTTTGGAAGAAGGGACATAGAGTTGGTTATAGGAGGTTGTGTCGTTTGAACGCATCTGGATGCAAGGTTGGAGCAATGAAACGTCCAATCAAAAGGGTGCAGACGATTGGCGCTAGAAAGGCCTTCGCGAAGATGTTCAATGTTTTTGGATCGTCTCAGCATGGCTCAGGAGTTGGCGGAAAACCGATCATGAAGGTGGTAGGACCAAGGCTAGGTTTTCCAGCTGTACTCCAAGCACCAAATACTGATAGCACGTCGGGTGAAGGGAGCAGTCCCCAGGTACATGGCAATGTTCATGTAGAGCACAATCGCCCTACGGTATGAGGCAGAGCGCTTGGAGAAGAGGAAGAAGGGCTTCTGCTATTGGTTCGGCAAGGGGAAAGATCGCTGCAAATTTGGTGACGACTGCAAATTCATCCATTCCGAAGATGATGTGGTGCTACATTCGTATTGGTGTAAATACTATGTGGCAGGGAGAGAATGTTTCGCTGGAAAGGATTGTGGGTTCTCGCATGATGCAACTGGTGTGAGGTGCGTCCAGTTTGCTCGGTCTGGGAAGTGTCGATTTGGTGACAGGTGTGTCTTCGAGCATGGTGTTCCGCTGGAAGAACAGAGGCCAAGGTCTCCAAGGACGCCCCCAAGGGATGGTCCAAGGAGAAAGTCTGGTGCAAATGGTGGAGAAAAGGAGATCTCTCCTGAACAGTTCGATGATGATGAGGAGGATTTTATGGTTTATGACGAAGAGACCAAGATGACGGAACTGTTGATGGAGGCGATTTCATTTCTGTCCGGTGGCAAGCCAGATTTGGCTCGAGCAGAGGCGGACCCATTGTTCAAGCTCCTGAAGTTCACTGGAGATGCTGACCAAATGGATCAAGAATGGGTTTCGTGGACCACTGAAATGTTGACCGTGCTGGAACTTCTCGAAGTAGTGAAGTCGTATGAGGTTTCGCTCGCGGAGGTGGAAGAATGGGTCAATGACCTGAGGATATGGTATGAGCGAGCCAATTTGGGAGAGGAAAAGGATTCCAAAAGAGGTAAAAAGAGGTCCCTAGAAAGGGAGTCCAGCAAGGATATTCCTGCCGAAAAAGGAGTGGTTGAGACTTCGGAGACGGAGGTTGCCGTTGAAGAAGAGAAGAAAAAGGTAAAAAAGAAGAGGAAAGCTGCAGCTATCGAAGATCCTTACACTCTCATGGTTCCAAAGCCGAAGAAGATGCCGACGATCATTGAGAAGGGTGGATCAACATCCAATGTGGTGGCTTCTGCAGTGGAAAAATCCTCGAAGACGCGCACAAAGTCAAATGTCGGTGGAAAGACAAAGAAGAGGGAGAAAAGTCAGAGTCCCAAAAAAGAAGAGGTGGTAATGGTGCAAGATCCTGAGGAAAAGGATCGTCCATCTGATGCGGATGCACCAGGGTCTGCCACTGCGAATGAAGAGCTGGGTCAATCTTGCCAGGCGATTGAGGACGCAAAGAGAGAAGGATTGGTATCCTCAATTCAAAGGGGCGTACAGGATCCTGTTCTTACAGTTTCGGACCTGGAGTATATTCTGCTGCAACTTCACCTCAAGATTGCCAACAATCGGAAAAAGAAGTGATTGGATGGTAGGGATGAAGGGATAGTTTTTCTCTTTCTGGAGACAGGTGCGCTGGAACAGCCAATGTGCTGACAATGTGGTGGTTACTATTAAGGGTATGGAAATCCCTGATAGTAGAAGTCAGTAGCTTTTCGCGTAGAGAAGACCACGGTTTGTGGTGAAGAAGGCCAAGGAGTCTTCAGTGATGAGAGGATCATGGTGAAAAGAGATTCTCTATGGGTAGTAGGTTAGCCAATGCGCTATAGTTCCGTCCTGGAAGACGTTAAACCACAACATGCATTTCAAGCAGCTGGCTGCTGCCTTAAAGGCAGTTTTTGGCCAAATGATCTGCACCTCCAATGTGTCCTAGGAAATCCTAGGACAGGGGGAGTGCGGAGCTGCAATTGGTATTGTAGAAAGGAGTTGTTATTGGAAGTTGGAAGGGTTAATAAACCCGGGAATTATGTTTGGCTCAAGATGGGCTTGAACAGAAAGCCACAAGTTCAAAAAGTAGTGCCTGGGTTCTTAGGGTTTGGTAAGGGTGTGGATTCCTTCCCCCTTTCCTTCCCCCCTGGGTTGCTCTTATCCGTGTTCTTGTTTGTTTCTTGGTTCGATCTGGGGAATATAAGTTCAGGGCGATTAGGGGAGTTGATTTCCTTCCTTGGTTGTCCCCCCGTACCCTACCCTGATGAATATGGTTACTGGGCTACCAAGCTCTTGAACTGACATGAGCCATACCCTAAGGCTCCAAATAGCCCAAAGTAGGTACTGTTTACAGACTTTAGACCCCAATGGAGGTATTTCTTGTATACTGTGAGCCCTAGGGATACTCGAAAGTCCTCAAAAAAGAGCTATAGACTGAAGACATAGGGATTGATGCTGTGGGGTGTAAGTTAAATTAGGTATAGGTACACAGTTATTGTAAACGCTTGCGCGCGCCGCCTCGGCAGCCGGGCCGGCCAGGACAGGAAAGGAGGAGGAAAGAGGGTTTCGCAAAACAAGGGGAGGAAGGGCAGCGAGGTCAAAGCGGGGGGGGGGGGGGGGGGGGGGGGGGGGGGGGGGGGTGGGGGGTTTTGAGGAATTTCCCTGTAGGAGCCACCGAGAGACAGGACCCTCCACGGCGTCGGTTTGCAGCTCCTCCAAGCGATTGGGGGGGGGTCCCACAGGGCGGGGGTCCCACAGGGCGGGGGGGGGGGGGGGGGTGGCCAGAAAATTTTGCATGGGGGGAAGGGTTGGGTTAGGGGGAAGGAGGAGACAAGAGATGAGGATTACAAAGAAAATTGGCTGCTCATCGATTTCAAATCAATTCTCTGCCTTATGACTCCAATGTTGCCCGGAAACCCTACACCCTAAACCCAACGCCCTAAAACCTAAACCACTTGACACTTGCACGTAGAGTTTAGGTGCTGGTCTCGGGTTTAGGGTTAGGGTTTAGGGTTTAGGGTTTAGGGTTTAGGGTTTAGGGTTTAGGGTTTAGGGTTTAGGGTTTAGGGTTTAGGGTTTAGGGTTTAGGGTTTAGGGTTTAGGGTTTAGGGTTTAGGGTTTAGGGTTTAGGGCTAGGGTCTAGGGGTTCGGGCCCCCACTTCCTTCTTCGAGCACGAAATTAGCTATGGCAACCGAAGCCTCGAAGCCTCGGAAAGGTCATGGCCCTGGCCCTTACCGAAATAACTGGCAAGCTCCTTCGGATCTACGCCTTCAGCAGCTTGCGCAAGCAATTTGGGGCTTTGCTGTTGGGTTTTGGTTTGGGGTTCAGTTTTTTTTTTTTTTTTTGGGGTGGGGGGGGGGGGGGGGGGGGGGGGGAAAATCTCAATTTATCACCTGCCTGCCTGGTGTTCGCAGCTATGAGAAGTTTCCACAAAACCGTAAAACCTTAGACCCTTAAACCCTCAACTCTCAGCGCCCCATTTTCGATTCTTAGCAAGCCCTGAGTAATGTCGTCTGCATATCATACAGACCCTTCTAAGGACAGCCCACACCGGAGGAACTCCACTCCCAGAATACTGACAAGCCAGGGAGCACTAAAGTCTAACACAGGGGCTGCATGCCCCTGAACCCTAAACCCTAACCCCTAAACCCTACAGGGTTATCTCCCAATATCCTGGATCTACTCAGATTGTACCTCAGGTGCCTTCGATGCTGGGGTCACGCCAAATCCAGCACAATGCCGAGGTCCGAGACCAAGCCGTCAGGGTGAGGGTTTAGGGCTTAGAGTTTAGAGTTTTTGGGTTTAGGGTTTAGGGTTTTAGGGTCTAGGGATTGTGATCTCGATTGCAGTCGCATTGAACGTCCCGGGACTTGTGCATATGTTTTTTTGCTCTTGGAGGGGGCAGGGGTTATCGCTGACCTCCCCCTAGCAGTAACGCTCGCAACACGGGAGCCGTGCAATCTGCTGCAGCAGAGGCTAATCTGACCTTAGGGGCGCTTTTGCCCAGAGGCTCCAAAACCCCTTAATTCAGGAATGTACCTTAAATCATATATATTAGGGTTCCTACTATAATTTACGGTATATTGCCTTATTCAGGGGTTTTGGAGTCTCTGGGTGAATATCACCTGCTGCAGACGTGCTCTGACAGGAGAAGCGGGGAGAGTGTTGTTTGGCGGCTGAAGTTGCTTATAGGCTCATCTTGCCTAGTCGCCAGCTCCTGCAGGCTATGTGTCTGGTTCTGCATCGAACCCACCGCTCGACTTCTATCAATTCCCCCGCCTACTTGGAGACGTGTCCGTCTTGAAGAAGGAGGTGGTGGGCAATCCCATGTACGCCCGTGCCCAAGTTGGTGGCAGGTCAGGTCACTGCAGGCAGCCACACGGCCTTCCAGTACTCACATGTTGCGTTCGCTCAGGACACGTCTGCCGTGCTGCTGGCTTTGTGTGCTCTCTCAGCGACGAAAAGTCAGGTGGAGACCTTGATCACAAAACTTGCTGAAGGCCGGCATCATCCCAAGAATAAACTCAAGAGACCATCGCATCAGGGGCCATGTTCGTCGGTGTCCAAGGTATAGTTGCAAGCCGCCAAGTCACATGGAGATAGCTTGAAGGCTTCATGTGCGACTGTGGTGGGATGGGCCCACAAAAGGCGTGAAAGCACATCCCTGTCACATTTTCACAGCACCAGGCAATTCACGTGCCCGAATGTGCCGCGGACCTAATTAGGTGAGGGAGCGATTCGGCACGTTGAGCGACGTGCAGAACCCTTTGATCTTGGGATGTTCTCGGCGAGTCCCTGACAAATCCGCAGACCACACGAGGAGGTCTGGGTAAAAGCGTGATTGCGACTAAAAACCCTCTGTGCTGTTTTTTTAGCACTGAAATCGACGGTTTCGGGCCCCTCCATTCCATTTTACCCCAAGCCCAAAGTAGGCGCAGACACACCCCCAAAACCCCTGGCCCTGTCCGCCCCCTGCCCCTGCCCGCCCCCCCCCCCCACCCCGCCCCCCCGCCCCCCACCCCCCCTCCCCCCCCCCCCCCCCCCCCCCCCCCCGCCCCCCCCCCCGCCCCCCCGGCCCCCCCCCCCCCCCCTCCCCCCAGCGAAAGCTACTCCATTTGCATCCCAAATCTTGTGATGTTCCCGCTCTAGCAGCTCCTTCTCCTTCATAGGGATTGTAGTAGGGGTACTAGAATCCGGACTGTTGCAAAAATTCTATAGGACAATTAAGGACTGCTCGTATACGGAAGAACATACTCGGATCTTTACTAGGCAGGACAGGACATGTGGATGTCTTATGTTTGCGCTCATTGGGTTTGAGAGTGCCTTCTTCGGGAAATGTGTTCAGAGGGCTTGAAGGGCCTAAACCCTGGCCCTAAACCCTACACCCTACACCCTAAACCCTAAACCCTACTAAACTGGACAAGTAACCTCGACAGAAGCCCGGCAGTTGCCCTCTGGCCTAAACCTTCACCTCCACTCGGGGTTTAGGGTTATAGGGTTTAGGGTTTCGGGTCTACGGTTTACGGTTTGCGGTTTAGGGTTTAGGGTTTAGGGCTTAGGGTTTAGGGTTTAGGGTTAGTGGCAACGACCCCCAAAGTTTTGAACCCACCCAACCCCAAACCCCCACAGACCCCAAACTCTCGGGAGCTCGGTAGAGGCTCGATTCTGTCCAAATCGGAGCGAGACGAAGTTCTCGTTCGAGCCTTCCGCGGAGAGGACTGGGCTGGGGAAGGGCGCCCCGGTTTCCCAGAAGCTGCTATGGTAGGAAGCCGATAAGGCCCTAGGCTCCAATCCCTCAACCCCAAAAATCCACGGCAAGGAAGGTCGGGCGCGTGTTTTCGGGGGACATTCCCATCTTCAACAACCAGCAGCACCACGCATGTTGATCATCTCTTCATTTCTAAGCCGCACCCTTTTCTTACCCCCCCAAACCCTAAACCCTGAATCCCAAATGCTAAACGCAAAGCCCTAAACCCTGAATCCTAAATGCTAAACGCAAAGCCCTAAACCCTAACCCTAAACCCTATACCCTATACCCTATACCCTATAAACCCTAAACCCTAGAAGCCCTAAACCCTAAACCCTAAACCCTAGAAGCCCTAAACCCTAAACCCTTAAACCCTAGAAGCCCTAAACCCTAAACTCGTCTTCCTTGAGCCTTCTCCTGGCAGCAGGCTTTGCATGGGCTGTTGAGCCGCTTCCTGGAGGGGCAGCTTGGCCCTTCTTGAGGGCTTGTCTTGGGGTTTAGGGTTTGGGGTTTAGGGTTTGGGGTTTAGGGTTTAGGGTTTAGGGTTTAGGGTTTAGGGTTTAGGGTTTAGGGTTTAGGGATTTAGGGATTTAGGGATTTAGGGTTTAGGGTTCTTAGCATGGCATTCAGGAATCAGCTTCCCTTGTATGTTGTGTAGGGCCCATTGGCCCATGGGCTTGCACAGTGTACTGGGCTTGCTTGCATGGCCTATATCCCAGACCCCCGGGAGGATCCAAAAAGTAGATCCCCTTAAGGGTTCCTAAAAATGACCCAATAGTAGTATAGTGTACTATTTGGGGGTTCTACATTTTGGATCCTCCCAGGGGTCTGGGATAAAGGATAGAAAGGATGCTCTCCCGCTCCCGGGTCGCAGATGTTCTGCTTCTGATGGTGTGGTGCACCCTCCACCCTAAACCCGACACCCTAAACCCTAAACCCTCAACCCTAAACCCTAGGGCTTAGGGTTTCGGGTTTAGGTGCTCTCGAACATGTCCGGCTGGTGTATTTTGCACTCCGAGCTGTTGTCGAATACTTATAAATGCTTCAGTTTACCATTTCTGGATGGAGAAGGCGCTGTAATGCGCAAGAGAATCTTGTCAAGGTTCCGTCATACCTTTCCAAACAACTTCCGCCGGTCTTCTCTCTGCGGATATTACTCTTGCTTTGACATCCGAGGAAGGTCGTGCCCAGTAAGTCCGTGTGAGGATCGCGACTTCGTGCTTTTGTAGCTCCCATAGACTCCTATAGAGACCCCAGCAAAACTTTCAGGCCCCGCAACTCAGATGTTGCAGTTCGAGGTTTGGATAGCGCTCGCAGATGGCAAGTGGAGTCTATGGGCGGACAACAGGCTTGAAGCCTTTTTGTTTTTCCCACGGCTTCTGGAGGTGGATTTGATGCCCAGTGCAAGGGTATACAATACAGAAGATATGAGGTTGTAAAGCCTCAACCCTAAACCCTAGTGGTGGTCAGTCAAATCGTGCCTCATTCCTGTCTCAAGTAACCAGTTCGGCTTGCAGCTCCAACAGCAGCAGGGCACAACACTGCACAAAAACAGTGCGGCAGTTGAGTGACCTTTCTGCTTCTGCACTGCTGTCCCTGAGTCACAAGATAGAGGGTTCAGGGTTTAGGGTTTAGGGTTTAGGGTTTAGGGTTTAGGGTTTAGGGTTTAGGGTTTAGGGTTTAGGGTTTAGGGTTTAGGGTTTAGGTTTAGGGTTTAGGGTTTAGGGTTTAGGGTTTAGGGTTGTCAACGTTGAAGCAGGCCAGGTGATCATTCAGCCCCCCTGTGCTTGGAGGACCTTTGGTACCCAAAGCCCCGATAGCACGAAGCATGTCGGCTCATGACGCTTGAACGCCCGATCACGAACCCTAAGCCCTATAACCCAAAACCCTAAACCCTAAACCCTGGTGCGAGCTTCCGATGCTTCCTGCATCCAGAGCTCCCCAACCGCTTAGAAAGGCCATCCTGGTGGGTTTCATGTCAAGAGACGAAGACTCCCCAAAGTTGTGCCCCTAAAGGTTGCTCTTCATGTGCTCCTAATGGGGCCCTTGTACTGCCTTAGGGATCTTCAAAAGGGTCCCTACAACCCTAGCAGACCCAAGGCAAAACCCTTAGATCATGGGTCATCAGGTAAGATGGCCCTGATATTACCTTAGGGCTCTTTAAAAAGGGTCCCCCAAACCCAAGGGTACGACCTTAGATAAGGGTCCAAGGGAAAGCCCTTAGATCATGGGTCATCAGGTGTGGTTTAGGGTTTAGGCTTTGGGTTTAGGGTTTAGGGTTTAGGGTTTAGGGTTTAGGGTTTAGGGTTTAGGGTTTAGGGTTTAGGGTTTAGGGTTTAGGGTTTAGGGCGCACCGAGCCTACTTCTGAAGTAAGCTCCCCATGGCTCAAGCGGGGCCAAAGGTCTTCACACAGGGATTCCCTGCAACCACCCGTCTCACGCCTTCAAAGTTGGGCTACACCCGTTGGCAGCGCTCCGCTGTCCAACTTATCTACTATTTGCTTAAGAACCCCCCCCCCCCCCCCCCAAAAAAAAAAAAAAAAAAAAACAAACAAAAAACAGGCAGTAGGTAATCATCCCGATCTTACCCGTATAAGGAGGAATATGTTTAAGTTTGTTGGAGGGGTTCTTAAGCACGTATTAGTTATCGACTTTGCGCCCAAAGGGCGGCTGGCAAAGTGTGAAGGCAAACAGTCTGGAGCGCCACGCCCGGGGTCTTCTCGAAGTCTAGTCGGGTTTGGGGTTTGGGGTTTGGGGTTTAGGGTTTAGGGTTTCGGGTTTAGGGTTTAGGGTTTAGGGTGGATTTAGGGCAGCTACACTCGTACTTTGGGATGTTCCCTCTTGTACTAGCAGCTCCTTAACAGGGATTATAGTAGGTGCTATAGTCCTGATTGAGTGCTGCTAGGCTGTTCGTATAAGGGAGACACATCCCAAACCTAAACCCGAAACCCCTAAACCCCTAAACCCCTAAGCCCTAAACCCTAAACCCTAAACCCTAAACCCTAAACCCTAAACCCTATCAGGGCTTAGGATCTGTATAAAACCCTGTCGAGGAATGGTGGGCTTTTGCATCTTGTTGGTTGTGGGGAGAAGGGACCATGAAGGCACAATTTGTGCGAGGCTCACAAGAACAGACGAGCACAGGTTGTCCTAAACCCTAAACCCTAAACCCATAACCCATAACCCATCTAAACCCTAAACCGCGAGCAATTTCATCTTGAGTCGAAAAGAGAACGCTTGCCGCAGTTTCGCTTTACACCGGCAGGCCATGGTCTACTCCTGAAAGAAGTAGTCGGCCGAAGGGGTTTAGGGTTTAGGGTTTAGGGTTTAGGGTTTAGGGTTTAGGGTTTAGGGTTTAGGGTTTAGGGTTTAGGGTTTAGGGTTTAGGCTGGCCGCGAACAAACTGCAAAAGCCCTTTCGACAAGCAAGCGAAACAAAGCCCTGTTAAAGAATCGTTGATGTTACCCCAAGGCTCCTATGTAGTACCGTGTTGGGGTAGTATACCAGACTCCCCTACAACTAACCCAAAAAGGAACTAACTACATTGGAGCCTTTATACCCTAAGCCCTAAACCCTAAACCCCTAAACCCCTAAACCCCTAAACCCCTAAACCCCTAAACCCCTAAACCCCTAAACCCCTAAACCCCTAAACCCCTAAACCCTAAACCCTAAGCCCCTTAAAACCTACTTTGGGTAAGCCCAAACTTCGCCAGGCTGTTTACCTTCGCGTCTGAGATGCTCGACCTGCGCTTTGCCTACTTCTCGGAGGACCAGGCGGCTGCCCCGAAACCGTTAGGGGGTAGGGCTTAGGGTGTCGGGTTTAGGGTTTAGGGTTTAGGGCTTAGGGCTTAGGGTTTAGGGTTTAGGGTCCAGGGTTTCGGGTTTAGGGTTTGGGGTTTGGGGTTTGGCGTTTGGGGTTTGGGGTTTGGGGTTTGGGGTTTGTTAGGGTTGTAGGGTTTATAGGTTCTTTTTGTTGCGGGGCTTCGTGGATCTATGTCAGGGCTTGTATACGGTTTCAGTGGTTTTGGTTTTTCTTTAGGGTTTAGTGTGCTCCTTGGGCCTTCAGGCTTGTAGGGTGAAGGGGCACGGGCATGAGAATTCGAGCATGGAAGCCCTAGCTTGCTTGGGCCTTGTAATTTCTCAAGCCCAGTTCCCACAACCGGAACTCATGAACGACCTTGCTCAGAGTTTTACAGGGTTGAAGTCCCGAAGCAGCCAACTCCTGACGATCCTGCTTTTGGTCAAATCGGCTTTGGGGGTGTCCTGAAGCCTATGCTGCCCCAGCTGTTGGACAAGACCAACTGCCACATGGGGCTTTACGCAAATAGGGGACCCTAAAATGAACCCAATTAGTAGAATTGCCTTACGAAGACCCGAATAAGGTATCCCTAATATCATAAACCCCCACATGCGATGCGGAAGCCAATCAGCTCGAGGCTAGAAGCTAGCAACAGCTGCAGTGCCCAAGAACGATCGTGCACCCAAGAGTCCTGGACACCCTCAGCCAGAGACCTTAAGGTAGGGTTCGGCCGGTCCACACGAACAGTCACCACCAGCAGACCCACAAATAAAAGCACCCGGTAAATGCCCAAAAATTGACTGGGATTCCTGCTTGTCCTGGTGCTTTTCCTGGTGCTATTTCTGGTGCTATTTCTGGTGCTATTTTTTGTGCTATTCCTGGTGCTATTTCTGGTGCAATTTTTTGTGCTATTCCTGGTGCTATTTCTGGTGCTATTTTGTGCTATTGTTTGTGCTATTTCTGGTGCTATTTCTGGTGCTATGTGACTACCAGTCACCATCAGCAGACCCACAAAAAACAGCACCCGGTAAATGCTAAGCTGCTAAAATTGACTGGGATTCCTGGTGCTATTTCTGGTGCTATTTCTGGTGCTATTTTTTGTGCTATTCCTGGTGCTATTTCTGGTGCTATTTTTTGTGCTATTTCTGGTGCTATTATTTCTGTTGCTATGTGACTAGCAGTCACCACCAGCAGACCCACAAAAAGAAGCACCCGGTAAATGCTAAAATTGACTGGGATTCCTGGTGCTATTTTTGGCCTGTGTGTTATAAGGCCACGGCGTTATTTGACTGTTAGTGTGGACCGGCCGAACCCAACCTTAAGGCCTAAACATAAGGAGCCACGGACAGCAATCCTGTGTTTTGGGCATGCTCATACAAGCAGCCGCCAGATCCTGCCCAAGCTCCACAGAATTACTCACCAAGCTCATCAAAGAATAGATGCTCGCTTATGCGAGGTCGGAGACATCGCCCGGACGTTCTGCCAGTTGCGCCATCATTGCCCAATCTTCCTTGCGACCTTACACCGGGCGGGGGCCCCGACGAAGCATTACGGGTTTAGGGTTTGACTTGTCCGTAACCGTAAGCCCTCAGCGAGGATCTCCATGGGTACAGCATGGTCTATAGTTGAAGAGGACCACATAACCCAGGCCTGGAAGAACACCCGTCTCCTCTTTGTCATTGTGGGGGTAGCATGTTACATGTTTAAGAGTACTTAAACTCAATAAGGAATCTAAACTTACATTTTGAATACTATCCCAACCATGAACTAGTCCTTGCCCCTCATAGGATCCTTGGCTTGTCATGCAACGCCTCAGGAGCTGCCCATGCGTTTGCATGAGTATGCCTGGTGGAATCTGATTGACATCGGCGAGATGTATCTGTATCTGCAGGCGGGCTGTTCTCTGCGCATGGAAGCAATGTGAGATTTTGCATTTTGGGTTTTGGGTTTAGGGTTAAGGGTTCAGGGTTTTTTGACTTCTCCGACGACTCATTTTACAGATCCCATGCTGCAGGTTGATGACCGTGACATCATTGAGCGTATCGCCAATGAAGTCTATAAGCTCATATTCAGCATGAAGTGCGCGCCCACGGCCCCCGGAAGACATGTCACTGTGCGATGCGATGTCATCCGCTGCGAGCAGCTGCAGCGGTCACCTCCCGACAGATTCAAGTTAGGGGCCCAACAAAAAACTCTTTAAACATAAGGATCCTACTATTGGGGAAGGGCCCCTAGAAGGGGGATTCCGAAAAACCCTGTTTGTTCTATAGGTCCTACTATAGGGGTATAAGGGCCCCTATAAGGGGGACTCCGAAAACCCTGTTAGTTCTATAGGTACAGCTATCCAGCCAGAGCGCTCAAAATCCTGGCATTCCTGGATGTGGGAGACCGGAGGCCTGCCCGAA